ATTTAACTTGTACTTATTTTAGCATATGACTTGTGTTGTTTGTTTATTATATTATAAACTTAGTACTTTTTTTTAACGCATTTAAGATATGCAACATAAGCTTCTGTGGCTCTTTCCTGCTGTAACGCTGCAAATTTCCCCTCTGTTGGACTAATAAAGGTATTACTTGATTCTGACTCTGATTGATTAGGCCCAAATGTACACTTTTTAGCAAAAGGGTGAGCTAAATATCAACAAGTTTGCACTCAGTATCCCATGAATCAAAAGAAGACGGGAGGTCCCACTGCGATCTTCCTACCGGAGCGACTGCCTCTGACAGGCTCTCCTTCCTGCTCCGTCTACGTCTCAGCCCTCCTGTCCTCCTTCGCTACGCTGCTCTCCTCCGTCAGCTCCTCCGTCAGGCATCTCCGATCAGCTCCTCCGTTACCTCCTCCGTCACTCTTAACCCGTTAGCTCCTCCGAAATCAGCGCATCGCATCCTCTGGCCTCTCTGATCCTCTAAGCTTTTCAGCTCACGTCTCAGCCCTCGCCTCCCAGTCCTCATGCAGGCTCCAATCTCTTTTGAAGACACCCTGTGTCACACATATTCGGAGACACCCCAGGCTTTTGTGTAAAGATCAGGACAAATGGAATGTGAGACTTTTCATAGCTTCGATCTGATTTCTCTAACTATAATTTTACATTACAGTAAGGAAGCCCATTTCTGCCAGTAAAAAAAGAAAAGAAAAACACTTTGTGGTAAGAAAAGATCATAAAATGTACTATAATGACAAACTTTCTCTAAGTCCTACTGTAGGTTCAAGAATGTTTCTCCTCATTTTGAAAATGAAAGCCCTAGCTTAAAAAACAAATCACATTGTTTCAACCTTTCATAACATGGCGAAATTTGTAAGATAATATCAAATAGTTTGAACACTGGTAAATATCCCTTTATGTTCATAGTATTAGACCTTCGTAAAGGTTATTGTAAACTAGTTCTAGTGGGTTGAATCATCTTTATCTGAAATTTGGTATTGCTAAAAAATAACAGACACTTTCAATGTTAGTCTTCTCAATACAAACATACTGCTCATTATGTAACATTTAACTTATTTTTAGTGACAAAGAAACTAATTCAATCAAAGATATTTTAGTTTAAACAGTTTCTTCTCACATGCTGAGATTCTTTTTGAATTGTTGATTTTGTCCAAAATCAGAATCAACACTTGCATGGCCATTATTATGGGAAATCTTTAGCAAAGAAACAATGAGACGGTTTATCAATAAGTCAATCCACAGACATTTTTGTAAAAGCACAAATGCCCCAAAACAGCTGGTTCCAGCTTATCAAACGTCAGAGTTTACATCACAGTGAAATGTCCCACTTTGGAACTATTCTTCGTAAACTGTTTGAGGCCCTATGCCTGGCAGAGAGAGACGTACCTCCAGCTGCAGTAGAGAGGAACAGTCGAGGAAGAGCAGGCAGATCTTCTCCACAGCTTCCTGAGCCAGAGACGTCAGGAAGACGCTGAACTGGATCACCTGAGGGAACATCACAGACACAAAACATCTTCTGATACATTTTAGAAGGATATAATGAAAGAGTATAGGAGATTAATTAAAACAATATTGTTATAATCTTGTAGATTTTTTTTAACTTTGGTAAACTCAACAAATGTTTGTTTCATGCTAACATGTAAATATTTGAACAATTTACCCTAAAAAGTGAGTGAGTAATTGAAAAGCATTTTCATATGTTGCTGCTTTGAATCAAACCACATTTGTGTGATAACTTTAGCTACTAGTTAAGCTACTTTGCAGATCAAATTAATATAAATAAAACTAAATATAAATGAACAAATCATTGATAATGTCTTTTCAAAGGTTAAAATACGACTTGACTTTGTTTACCACAGGGCTTAAGGGCCGAGTAGTGTGCAAAGTAAGAAAAGTGAGCAGCACCTGTGTTTATCAGAGGCAACATTACAGTGAAGAACATATTAAAGCATTAATAATGTAATACAATACCATAAAGGACATTATTCTGATATGTAATTCTGCTAAATTAGAACATTTCTCCTGCTACCCAAGTATTTTTTGACTTAGTTAAAAAGTTAAATTAAGGACTTTCACTTACAAACATCTCCTTTCCCAGACTTTTTATTTTAATTAAATGCATTAAATATATCAATATATATATATCAATATATATATATCTATATATATATCAATATATATATATATCAATATATATATATCTATATATATATCAATATATATATATATATATATATCAATATATATATATATATACATACATCGACATGGCTGAATTCCAGTCAGAAACCTGTCCACTGTGTCATTGTGAAAAAAGCAGCTTGTTATTGACAGCTGGTCACTGATGCTGCAGGTAACGTCACGTTGAGTAAACCTGTAGCTGAACCGCTTCTAGACATACAGCAGATAGATAGGCCTGGGCCTGCTATCCAACTCCAAATGAATATCAAAGATGGATTTTCTGGGTTGTTGGTCAACCAGGGCTACATAATTACATCAATTCAGCCAAATGATGCGCTCTACCTACTACTAGCATAGCAGTCCTACGTTGAGTGGTTATTTAAATTAAGCCGTTGAAAGCTAACTAAAGCAGCTAGCTAGCTCTTCTATTTCTATGCTCTGCTGGTTGTTTAGCCGCCAGAGAAGGAGGGAGCCCCGACACAGCGGAGGCTGTTACCGACAGATGTTACACACCGGACTTTAAACGTACCTTTTCCTCCGAGGACCCGTGTGTGTTTTCAGTCTCACATGATGACATTTCTGGATATGTTTCTGCAGAGCCGCCGATAACTTTACTAATTTCTGCTACTGTCGCATTTACCATCATCTCCAAAATGGAGCCTACCTGCGCCTCCAAATCTGACATTGTGACCACTGTATATGCCCACTAACAATACGTTTCTGTTCTAAAATGTTGTAATAAAAGACATGGCTTTTGTTACTACAATGTTGTCGTTAAGGGGGAAAAGAAAACTCGTGCTCTTCACAACAATGGTCATCCTCTTCCCAGTTCATGTTTTTCAAAATAAAAGCCCGCTTGCTACGGTCAGTCAGAGTGGACCCAGTGATGGAGGCAGTGTTCAGAGGTAGGCTACACTAAAGTAAAAGCTATTTTACCACAATGTCAAATGGCCTATTCTGTAACAAGTTCAGAACCTGCATTGAAAATGTTACTTGGTAACTTGTTTAAGAAAGAAAAACAATTGAAAGTGTGAAATTGAAATTAAAGTGTGATTACCAGTTTCCCTTGTTAATAAAAAACAAACAAGTGCACCCAATTATGCATTTTCTTGTTTTATCTTCTGGTATTTAACCGGAAAGTGTTAGCATGACATTTTGTATGCCTTGGTGATATTCACGTGTTTATTGCCCTCAAATGGCTAAAGTGAGAAACTGCAGCACAATATATTAATACACGTAAAAAACTAAATCAAAGAAGTTCCATTGTTCATAGTGAGTACTTAATAAGGGTTAATAAAGAGTTTTTATACAGTTTAGTCCTTCAGCGGTCACATTGAAAACTACAAGGTAGTGGTGTCCAAACTTTTTTCACCGAGGGCCACATACAGAAACATATGAAGGGCTGGGCCACTCACTAGAGACGAGTTATATTGCCTCATAAGTTAAGTTATAAGTCAGCAAAATTAATCAAATGTAGGTCAATTATGCTTGATACTTGAAAATGCCTTAAGAAAAAAACAATTCCAATTCCCTTTTTTTGTGATTTCCTACCTATTTAGGGTTAAAAAAAACCTCTTGCAATTTAGACTTTTATTTATTTTATTTTAAAATGTTACAGTATGTCCACTGTGGAGGACGTCGGGACCATTTTAGTATATTATATACCTATTTAGGGTTAAAAAAAACCTCTTGCAATTTAGACTTTTATTTATTTTATTTAAAAATGTTACAGTATGTCCACTGTAGAGGACGTCGGGACCATTTTAGTTTGAAAAGACAGCCAAAATTAACAGATAGGGCAGGACGTGCACAGACATTTGGAGGGGCTATTGCTCTAAACTGGAAAAAGGGCTTCCCCCCGAAAAAAAACATAAGACCTTTTGAAAATTGTAACTTGTTTTTAATGTAAAAGAAACCAAACGATTATTATCAACTAAATTGAACAGTAATTCACATCTCATAACAAAATAAGCTAAGGCGACTACTTGCATTCGGTAAGTTGATTTTAAAAATGTTTTGCGGTCCATATCTGATAAAAATATCTAATGTTAGAAACTATTAAAGATTAGTTAGGGACAATTCTGTTCTAATGTAGTTTGACCATTGTAACTGCTGTGCAGGACATACTGATAAAATAGGGCCTCTAACTAATTACCTTAA